CTTGCTCGCTAGGCGAGTCTGTAGCGATGACAGCAAAAACCTGTTACGACCAAAACTGATTCTTGCCCAAATACTCATACGATTCACTTACCCAATACCCTCAAAACATCCTTAAATCATCCCTACGGTCATATGGCGATAACGGCTCAACATCTATGGTTTATTAGGCCAATATGGAAACATTTGCACTGCCTAAATCATTATTTTTCTCTAATTGCTCTGAGTGCATTATAGTTACTCACAATTGAACATTCCTATTCCTAAGGGTCAAACATATCACAATCCAAGGTTTTGGTCACGAAGGCCTAGGGTTTTCCTTCTCATATCAATATTCAGTGTTACATACCATTACCCCTAACCTCAAAGTCTTATCATCAAATTCCCTATTTTCCCACAACCAACCCAAAACACCTTAAATCATAAACCAACCATAAACATATCTAAAGACATACATAGAAAATCATGAACAACGATACTCCCCATACCTTAGTCGATTCGCAGCTTTCACGATTAACTTCAGGATCTTCTGCCTCCATCCTTTCCTTCAGAGCTCTGACCACCAAACTTTCACGGTTAACACAAATGAATTCAAATTCCCCTTCAGAACTCAATTTTGTCCAACCTAGTCTTGGGCCTCACAAATTGGGCTTTTCCCTCATTACCCTTACTAACTCCCTCAAATGCCCAAATTGCCCTTATTTCACTTATATTCCATTTAATTTATAATAATACTAATAAATTAATATTATATGCTATTAATCAAATAAATACCCGAAAATGCACATCTTTCCAATATTCACAAAACCACAAGAAATTCACCGAAACATGAATATTCTCAATTAAATAATTAATTAACATATTCCGATTAAATTTGGGGTGTTACACTAAGTACTTCAAAACATTTCCAGATACTTCTCTTTTGTTGACACTTGCTTGAATAGATTTTTATGAGGCGTTAGTTACATTTCATTTGATTGCCATCATTGGATAGTCAGGTCCATAAAATCCTAATGATAAGGTTTACATCTTTATCGTTTAACCGTTCATGCTTGACTTATTATAAGACATTAGTTGTCATCATCAAAAGTTGATGTCCTTGTTAAAAACATATCACATGTAAAACAAGGTTCCACAATAGTCTTATCAATTGAGATACACATGATTTCCCCTGAGGGACTTAGGTTTCCTAGGCTCTTTAAACTCTCTTGAGGGAATTATAGTTTCCTCGGGCGAGATCAAACATATAAATCTCTCCCAAGAGGCACGACCGAAGTCTAGTTTAAGAAATTTAGTCACAAGTCTTGTTTGAAGGCTTGATAGAAGTCCCACTCGAGAATTCAAAGCTACCCCTGAGGGACTTATAGTCTCATCATCCAGGCTACATATGACTTCTCCAAAGAGACTTAGATTACCCAAGATATTCAAACTCTCACCTGAGGGACTTAGAGTTTCCTCAAATGGGATCAAACATAGAAATGTCACCTAAGAGGCGTGACCAAAGTCTAGTTTAAGAGACTTAGTCACAAGTCTTGTTTGAAGGCTTGTTATAATCTCTCCCGAGAGTTTCAATGCATTTCCTGAGGGACTTATAATCTCATAAGCCAAGCTACATATAACTTCTCAAGAGGAACTTAGATTTCCCATGCTATTTAAACTCTCATTTGAGAGATCTAAATTTTCCTCGGACAGGGTTAAACACTATATTTTCTCTTAAAAAATCCTGGAGCCTAATAAGTTTAACCCTTCATATATATCAAGAAACATAGGTCCTCGAGATACTCCCACACACCATTGTTTAAGAACACTATGTTCTTTATCAAGGGCCTTGTGCTTGATGGGCTATATAGTGTCATATTTTTAAAGGACCTGTAAAGGGTGATGACCATAAATTTCCCCCTCCTAGAAAAGACGATGACCATATGTAGCTCTCAAGTAGGTATTACCTAACTCAAATTTTCTCCTTGCGCCCAGTCATGGGAAATGTGGGGTAAGACATTTTTTGTGAAAGAAAAGAGTAGGGGCCAACATCTGACATATGACTCCCTTGGAAATAGGGATTCAACAGTCTGTTACTGACTTAGTGGCCAATGACATTTTCCAATGAAACCCTAGGACCAAGGCCTCTATAAATACTTCTTCCCCAAGGGGGAGGGGGGTGAAGGGACCAAATTCATACGCTTATACCTAAGTGTGAGATAAATACATAAAACTTCTCACCTCACTTGAAAAGGTCATGTAAACCACCATAAACACCATCATACACGACTTCTCGCCGATGTGGGCAAACCTTAACCACCATACAACAAAATATACATACTAAGGTCTCTAAGTGCCCCTTCTCTTGCAAGGGTAACATTCACAATTGTACTTTTTGACCAGTATAAAAGGTAGAAACCTGGAGGTTGTTTTAGATCAATTTAATAAGTTGTGTATAAGACAATGGGTAAAAACACATTTTATTGTTAAGATGTCATGTAGTTTCTAGTGTAAGGCTGGTGCCAAGATAACTTACCTTATATAGAGGTAATCATTTATAGAAATAGACTTTAAAACACTTATGGAGGTTTAGTGCAGGAAGACTGTAACCAACCCTATTTTCAAGTTATTTAAAACTTTGCTTTTTGATCAAATCAAGTTAATTTAGCTTTATGATAATGTTATGAATTGTGCCTTTAATGGATATCCAAGTGGTATGAAGGATTATGAGATATTCGAAATGGAATCTAAAAGATCAAAGTTCATGAATTGTAGATGTATTACTTTTAATGAGTGTGTTCACGGGAACAAAAGTATAGACCCGAGGATGAAACTTTTATAAATAATGACAGAGAATACTCAATTTAAGGTGGAGGTTCCTACTATGGATACTATTAATAGTGAGGAAACAATTACAAATAATTTTGATTATCATTTGATTAATGAAAAGGTAATAAGCAAGATTATATTGTCTCAAAAGAACAATTATGCATGTCTTGGGTGTTAAGATTTAAGTGTGGTTGAAGAGTTGCAAAGCTCAGAAACAGAGATCATCAAAGATGAATTCGATAGTAGGTGGGCTCAAATATTGTTGAAGAATCATACTTGTGAGCTTATTGTACTACTAAAGTAGAAAAATAAGGTTGAAAGTAAGTGGATGCAAATGGCAAAATCAAGGTTCAAGTGGAGGCAGAGCCGGTCTAGTGGCATGGCATGGCGTAAGGCTAACAATGGAGCTAGAGCGAAAGAAATATAATCAGCATTGGAGCCAGCATGGCAAAAGGTTCATTTGCTGGAGCTTAAGTCTGATTTTTTCAGTTCACCTGTATTGGACTTTGTTGTGTTGGTTCGTGGATTTATTTGTTAAATGATAATGTTTTGGGCTTGTTATAGATTCGTTAGTTTAAGTAGTTATAAATATGGATCTTTATCGTTATTATTATCACAATTTTTAGAATTTTATAGAAGATAGAGAGAAATGTTTGAGAATTCTAGTAGTAATCTTACATAGGCAAGGGTAAATTCCTAAAAGCATGTTTTTGTAATTCGAGAAACCCTTGGAGATATCTAAGTAAAATTGAAAAACATTTATAAACACCTTGAGTTTATGTGATTCATATATAGAGTGTTGGAGAGATTAAAAGAAATACCCAATATGATTTATTTTTGGGAACTTGGGCGAATATTTTCTTGTAGTTCATTTGCAATCTTTTGCAACAACCCATGGAAGTAAAATAATCGGAGAATTGCTATATTCTTTATAGTAGATCTTTTGATCGAACTTGATAAACTAATTATTGTGTCTTTATCTTTTATTTTTATCAGTCAAGTTAAGTTATTGTTTTATTGTATATTACTTTTGTTAAATGTCATTTATCTTTGTCCCTACACATCAACTTTTTTGATTTGACTAAACCTTTTAATTTCACAACATTTATGATGAAACAAAAAAACTATCCAAGATATGAAAGAACGTTTTATCCATATATTAAATCACTTCAAAATTTTGTTTTTCGAAATTAAGTAAAAAATTTCACAAAAGTCTTTAAATGCTTAAATCACATATGACAACTTAAAGTCATTGTCATTTTCGAATCTAAAAATTGTCCAACACGAACTTGAAAACTTTGTTTGATAAATCGAAGGAGCACGGGATAATTCAGAAAAATTCTTGTTTTAGAAGAGAACATATATTGATATAGAAAAAATTTAGTTCAAAAGTTAACAATTCATGAGCCTGACTACTCTCCAACTGATTAGAAACAAAAGGTTAACCGACTAGATTAATTCATAAAAGAAAACGCTGTAACAAATTTGTCTCTTAAACAATTAATTAACAATTAATTGATATCCTAATAAATTAGGAGGCGAAATCAATTTAAAAAAACTCTAATCAATTAGATAAATTTATTTATTTATAATTAAAAATGCTTAACCAATTAAGCACTTGCCATTTATTTATTTTACATATAACCGATAAAAAAAGTTTAAAAATTGATCTGTATTGTTTTGGCCTCAAACATTAGAACTTAATCAATGATATCTTTTGGTGTGCTTACTTATATCATGAAAACCTCATAAAGCTTTTATACTACTTAACACATATAATGACATAGTAACTTACATTATGATTATAAGAGGCATAAACATCCATTGTTAGGTAAGAAGGCAATCCAGTTAGTGGTCATTGAATTTTTTGACTTAGAAAATCTTCAGTATAATTTCTTGTAAGGATTCATCATTATCATCATCAAGTTCCATAACCGTGAGTTGAGTAAAAGGTTCATGACCAAACATGCATAGAACATTGGCTTTTATTTCAGATATTTTCGAGTTTAATATTTTGGGAAATTGGTTAGTGTTTAAGGTAACTATGTTTTTTTTTTGATGGAAGATAAGGCATGTTAATAAGGAAATTGATAGGCAACTTCATTGAATACAATAGACACCAAAATAAGACAGAAAAATTCAGCACAAAAGAATAATACAAAAGAAACCAAAATCACAAAGCAAAGCAAAAGTCATCATATGCATCCATTATATCTATGTTTTGCATCAACATGTCTCCTCCTCTTGTTCTTCTTCTTCAACTTGTCACAAGTGAATGCTCTTTCTAGCTGCTCCACCCTTTGTGTGAGAGATGTGAGAAGTGATGTTTGCTTCTCATTCCTCTCAAACAATTGTGCCATCATACACATCATCTTCTCATTATCATTCATCATTCTTCTTAACATTTCTCTATTCTCATCCTCTTCCTCCTCACATTCAATTACATTTCTACCCTCCTCTTCTTTCACATCCACACTATCATCCTCAATTTCTTGCTTCACCAAACTTGATCCAACACTCTCTTCTTCCTCCATCTTCTTCTCATCCTCATCTCCACCCTCTTCCTCTTTTACCTTCATCAAACAATTCTCCTCTTCTTTTACACATTTACCCTCACCAATATTCTCATTCTCAGAAAGTTTCATTTTTTCACCCCCCTCATTCTCCACCTCACACCCCCCTTCTTCTTTCTCCATACAATTCACCTCTTCCTCCACATAGTTACCCTCTCCATCCTCATTCACCAAACCTTCAATTTTCTTACCACCCTCAAGTTCCTCCTCACACCCCCCTTCCTTCTCCACCACCATTTGAATTTGATCAACAAACTCTTGAAGAAAAATGGCCCTTTTAATGAGCAACTTTCTCAAGTCCCTAAGAGCACAACAATGAAACACTCTAACAGAATCCAACCTAAGAAGCAAATTCATGATGGTTTCACCCATCCTCATCCTCTCCTTTTGCTCCTTCTTCATCATCTTCACCGTTTCTTCATTATTCACCTTCTTCTCAATCTCCTCCAACTCCACCTTCATCTTCAACATCTTCTTCACACTCTTCCTCACAAGATACCCTCTTGCAACCCTCTGAATCTTCATCACCGAATCAGTTCTGTTTCTATCAGACCCAACGAAATGAACCGGAATCGAAACCACCTTGGAAGGTGTCTTGTTGTAACGAGGAGCACCCCATTGGGTTCCGTACAAGGGAGAAGGTGTCGTTGTCCTGTTGTTGTTAAAATACATAATGTTTTGTTAATATAAAAATTGTTTCTGATACGAGAATCAAGATTGCTCAGTTGCTGTTATGTTCCGATAATCGAACAAAGATGGATGATTATTATTTATAATGAATACGAGGTTGATGTTTTTGGAAGAATCGATAGGAATGTTTGAGAAGGTTCGTGAAGCGAGAAGAAGAGAATCGAATAGAAGGGAAGAGAAGAATAAGATCTGATTGCTTACGTGGCATGAGTTGATTCCTCGATTATTAATTTTTGTTTCGTTCTAGATAACTGTCGAATCTTCTCAAAGGAACGGGATAACTGTAATTATTTTATGTTCCTTTCATTTATCATTTTTCAATTGAAAATTCTCATTTTTTAAAATTATAGCGAAACAGATGAAAATTATTATATTAAGGCCAGTTTTCTCTCGCACGCTCTCTTTTTTTTTCTTTCTTTTTTTTTTTTAATTTAAAATTTGTTTAGTTGGTTTGATTTTGTAGAGGTTAATTATTATACACCTATATAGTATTATCTAATAGGAATTCATCAATTTGTCATGTCATATTAGTAACTTAAAATTTATAGTGTGGTGTGGTGAAATCCATGATAGTGATTGGTTGATCATGTAAATTTTTTTTACACTGACAATGTATATCAATTAAATTTTCATATAAATTGTTGTTTTTAAAATTGGAAATTAAAAAGAGTTTAATAGACATGCATATACATATTCAGCGTAAAATATTTTTACACAATCGTTCAATAGGAAATTATTAATTTGTCAAATCATTCAATTTGTTTTAAATTATCAGTTTGGGATGCATGTCATTCATTGGATGACGGTGTAAAGTGTTAGAAGTTGTAATTTGATATTTGGTAGAAATGCTAGTATTTAATTGTATCGAAGTAGTTAGTCGGAGGAGTAGAAGTCACCTGTATTTGACAGAGTTGAATACATAATATAGTTATTGTGTTAAAGTGGAAATGTAATTTTGTATGTTTTGTGCTTGGGTCTTGGTTGTCTAAATATAGGCATACCTTGGTAGTTTTCAAATAACAACTTTATACCTTAGTTTTACTTAATAATATTTTCTCCTATTTCTCTTCTTCCTCTTGAAACCCTAATTGATATATTAGTTTCAACAAATTGGTATCAAAGAGTCTGAGTTATGATTCAGAGAGACTCTGTAATGGCAAATGGAAACACATCATCAACACAATTTTCAGCAAATCTACCTATTTTCAAAGGGGGAAAACTATGAGAGGTGGATTGCGCTGATGAAGGTCATCTTCAGATTTCAAGATGTGGATGAAATCGTGAACGATGGAGTATCTGCTTTGAAAGAGACTATGAACGATGTTCAGTAAGTTGCACATGAACAAAGAAAGAAAGATGGGAAATTTATGTTCTTAATCCATCAATGCGTGGATCCTAACATGTTTGAGAATGTTATTGAAGAAGAAACAACAAAAGAAGTGTGGGACAAGTTAAAGAACTTGTATGACGGAGATGAAAAGTTGAAAGGGTGAAGTTGCGAACGTTGAGAAAGCAATTTGAGATGACTCAAATGAAAGAAGACGAGTGAGTTTCAAAATTCTTTACATGTGTAGTATCTCTAACAAACCAGATGAAGGCAAGTGGTGAATCAATCACTAATATGCAGAAGATTGAGAAAATGTTAAGATTTTTTACTGTAAATTTTGATTACATTGTCGTGTTCATTGAAGAGTCCAAAAACCTAGCATAGATGAAGGTGGAAGAACTTGAAGCTTCATTGAAAGCTCATTAGACAAGACTGAAGCACAAGAACTTAGAGAGGGAGAAATGGTTAAACAGGCAATGCAAGCAAGATTCACCAAGAAATCTGGGAAAGAAAACATGAAGCAGAGAAAGAATCTTGCTAATGATAAGAAGTCAAGCAAGAACTCAAAGGATCACTCTGTTTCAATCAATAAAGTTACAAACAACAAGTATTTAGGGAAGAAAGTTAACATGGAGGAAGTGCAGTGTTACAACTATCAAGGGTTTGGTCATTATGTAAGAGATTGTAGAAGAAAGAATGAATCTAGAGCAAAAGATGATGATGAAGTGCAATATGCACATGTTGGTGAAAGCGACTATGATGATATGCTACTCATGGAAAATACTAAATCAAACAATGGACAAACCAATATGTGGTATATTTATTCCGGATGCAACAACCACATGACTGGTAATAAAAACTGATTTATCAAAATTGATGAATCAGTCAAGAAGGTGATAAAGTTTGCAGATGGCAGACATGTAACATCAGAGGAAGGAGGAAACGTAGTTGTGATGAGAATGAATGGTCGAAGAGCCAACATTACTGACGTATTCTATGTACCTTAAATGATAAGTAACTTGATAAGCATAGGCCAATTACTTGCCAAAGGGTATAACATGAAGTTGGAAGAAAACATGATAAAGGTGTATAATGGTGAAGGAAGGATGATCATGAAGGCACCATTGACAGATAACAAAACCTTCAAGATAGAGATCAACATGTTTGATCAATAGTGCCTTGCTTCAAATTTTGTCAAAGACAAGAACTGGCTACGGTATTGTTGAAGCGGTAAAGCAGCAAGCAAAAAATATTAAGTACCCAGTTTTATCGTCTCCACAGGGATCGGTGCGATACGAACACCGTTCTACGTTCTCCATATTTCTAAGCCTATTGTTCAAAAGTTTTGGTTTAAAAGGTTCAAGGAACCATAAATAAAAACAGAAAATATAAATTAAAACTAAAATATAAACGGAGCCTTGTTGGGATTGGATCTCATCAATTGATAACACATGCATTCTTCTGATTAAATTAAACACAACACAATCATTCGTCTAATATCCTCACGTATCACCCACGACAAAGCTTATCTCTAACGCAACGTCGAGAGAACAACTGCGTTGTCTCATTGGTGATATCTCATCCAACAAAAACACAACACAGAGCATTAAGAACTGATACTCGCGCAAATGCTAAGCCTAAACCTATATATAGCATTTAGGACCTAACAGGTAATCATCCTTGATCCAGATCTGAAGAGAATATCTCTATCACGACTCAAATCAAAGATAAACAGGTAAGCAAAGACGACACCCATATCGGATAAACGATTGTTTCATATAAAATACAATGATCAAAATACGTACACACGCTTAACCCTTTTTACATGTATTCATCTAATCTGCCAAATGGTTGCGAACATCGTTCTTCATCACTATTATCACGCACCCGCATGATATCGTCTTGATCCTACTCATGCTACCCATGCTACTTAATCAACACAATAAAATAGAAGATACAATGAATATCAATTCACAAAACCATGTCGAAAGTTTGTTCATTGATAGAAGAAAATTTGAGATCAATTCTTGTGCCTTACTATTCACTTGTTTTGTGCCTAATTCCTGCACAATAGCACACGAATCAAAGCAACCAAGGCATATATAAACAATGTAGCGAATCATCTAAAACTCGAGTGATTCTAATCACTTTCACCTATAAAAAGAATGAAAGATGCCAACATTTGATAAGTCAAATAAGCAAAGTTTGACATCTAACAACTCTCCCCAACTAGATTTTTGCTTGTCCCCAAGCAAAGTATGCCTCTCATTTCAAACAAGAGGATTTACTCAAGATTAAAATTCACCCAAGAATGGATAAAATGGCTCACACACAAAGAATGCAAACAAGTAATGGTTTCAAATATTGAGAATCAAACAATGCAAAAGAGCTAAATTCTTAAAGAAAATATTAATCCATGTATCAATCAACAATACCTTTTTCATGAATGAATCGCTCTATCTCTTCTCTTCGAATAAGGATTGAAGAAATTACGCGTTTGCAACCGCGGTGAAAATTTCACTCACCTAACAAACAATGCCAATATCGATCCAATTCATACAATATCTAATTAATCAAAACCGAAAATATGGAAGCAAGAAGATCACTAAGGTCTTTAAGGTTGTAGCTTGGTCGGGTTTACAAACAAGGGACATTTCTAAGGCCATTGAAACGAAATTGCCGATGCAAAAGAAACATTCACTGCACAAGTTATTTATACACCCCAACTTCATTCCATTTGATTCTTAATTGCAAACCTTCCCAACTTTATTTCACAACTTATTCTTTCACTATTTTTATTTTCCAAGCAAGCATTCTTTTTCTCATCATTTTTTTTCCAATCATATTCACATAACAAATTTTTTTTCAATGCTTGCTTAAATTTTTCAAAAGTTGTAGCAACCTACCATCTTTCTTTTTCATTCTCCCCAACTTAACTTTTACTCAATCCTCAAGTGAATGCTCTTGAATTTTTATGGAAAAGAGGACAATTAAAACAAATTCAAGGATTCAAGAAAAATTTTAGAATCTCACAAAATTCAGAATGAGATTCACATTATTTAGGCTCAAAAGGGGTTAACGAATTCTCTCTACTCACGGGTAAGTTGCATTTGGACATAGTTGTGCTCACTATAAACAAGTGCCTTGATCATTTATAACGCTTCCACAAATCCACAATAATAACAAGATAAAACATGAATAAAACGAATCGACAAAGTTTATTAGAAATCCAGCATTTAGTAAACAATGGAAGCTTTCTCACAAATTGTGGTTTTTGGTCATAAGTGAAACAATCATTCAAACAAGCTGCTAAAAGAACAAATTTCATTTGCACAAAGACTTAAGTTCTTAAGCATTCTAAAATTCTAAACAACAGAAACCATGTACCTTGACAACATTCACTTGTTCTATACTATCATTGTCATCTAAACTCTGTCGAATCTTCATTGAATGCTTTTGTAAAAATAGCAACCACTCTAGAAGGAGTTCTCAACATTCCTGAACATACTAGAGAAAACATAAAAAGAAACAAACATATACAATATAAACAAATATACAAAGCTTAAAAATATAGAACCGTTGCAATGCACTTCAATATCTCAACACCAATCCCCGGCAACGACGCCATTTTGTTGAAGCGGTAAAGCAGCAAGCA